CAAAATCGAGTGCATAGGTTTCTGCTAAACGTGCGGGCCAGAGCTGTGATATTGAGTGCTTCCGTAAGGGAAATTTCATGTAGCACTACTGCACTGTTTCTTTTCAGTAGAGCCTAGTACCTCAAAGTTCCGCCGATGTCAACGATTGCGTCTTATAACTTAGAATTTTATTTGTACCAGTTATTGCTAAACCGGAAGCCCCCTATGTCTAAATGATATTTTTCAATTACGAAAACTTAGTAAAATTTCTATTTCTATGTTTCGCACTTATACCGAACCGCTGATAGCCAGCATTGGAAATTCTCTGCGAACATAGGATATATGACTTTAATGCTAATTAAATGCATTTTTTTATACAAACACTCGATTTTCCCCGGTTATCAAACGCAGGTCATAAGCTGTGCATTGGAATAAGATTTCTCGAGTTCTGGCGACGATTCTTCATTGTTTGGTGTGACTAAGCGGTGTAAAATAGTCACTGATGAATCGATGAGTCCGGGCTGGGCGAACACAATTCTTTTCACTTTCCGAAGTCCATGAAAGAGTTCCCTAGTACGACAAAGTAGTGGCACACTTAACATTATATTGACCGTCCAACAATGCACGTCCTTTTGAAAGCAAGTGTTTATGACAGAACTTATCAAATGGAGCATCAAACTACCCCAAACACAACGGAAATGTAAAGTTGATTGAAAACAAAGTAAAGACAGATTTTTCGTTCAGATCAGACAATAACGCATAGTTCGCAAGCTCACTTTCTGCATAACCTTATTCTGAAACGTTCGTTCTGGCGGTGTCATAATATGCTACAACATGAGATGTTAAACATTACGGCTAATATTCACAGGTATAAGTGATTATTTTCCCGGCACTTGCGCTTGATGGCATGATGCCACAGCACCATCGTGGTCGGCTTCTACTCTAGGGATTCCGAGTTCGAACCTGCTCAGGGAACTACCTTTGTTCCAACAATACTTATTCTGTAGCAGGGGATTTATAGGATGTTTCGCAGGTTCGAGATGCAAGCACCAGGTCCGGTGATTTGAAAATGAAGGGGACAGCGGTATTATCCTGTATGATCATGTCAGAACAGAAAAGATGTTTAGCCATGCGAGCGATCTTTATGGTTGTACTTCACCTTGAGAAACACGATAGCTGATAATCCGTTGCGAAGATCAGCACCAAGAGTATTCTGATTTCTAGATGTTACATGGTACAAATGATCATGTATTGTAGGAAGCAGCTAGCAAGCAAATGATTCAGTTATTCGAGAATCATGTTATAAAACTTATTGTAATGCAGTTTTCCCTAAAACGGCTTGTCGCAAGGTGTGAAAGATGTCGTCTTATTCGAAAACCAGTTACTTGAGATTTTAAATGTCGCAATATGAGAATTTTGAGGGGTTTAAAATGTCTGGACGCCTGACAAACAGATGGATTATGAAAACAATATGGCCCACACACTATAATAGTTCAATAAATTTATTAAAATTTGTATAATCACTTCCACAAACCGGCGGATAATGAGTATTCGATTAATAGCTCCATTTGCAATTCAGATTCCTTGTGTTTGACCTCTTCAGTAATGCAGCGTATCTTCCCAGTTTTGAACTAGAAGAGAATAATTGATTTGCGGGAGAAGCTTGCGCTTCATTGGCATCACAGTTGGAACCCACATGCATCCAGCTTGTTTGAATAGTTTTCAATTTGTGTATAAAATAGTACCGAATGTTAGTCGAAAGAAAATGAGCACGTGCTTTGTAACCTGACAATTGTTTATACTACGGTAGTAATTGAAATCTGGTCGTTCAACGTGTACAAGTGACACAGTGTCTTAAAACTGTTCGTTGAACTGAAAAGATTGGTAAGTCTAGTGTTGATGTTGATCTGAGGTACTTTTTTCGAGGCGTACGTTACAATGCATATAATTTGCGCAGCTTAGGATTCCAAAATGTCTCTTCGTGTATTGGTTGGAGTGAAGAGGGTAATCGACTACGCGGTCAAAGTACGGATACGAAACGGAAGCGGTGCCTGGCAGCCTCTGTTCTGAGCGAAAGCGACTGGGCTCGAGCCCTCTTAATCGCGCGACCACGTGTTCGTTACTTCGCGCACTGTTGCATGAGCGGCGCTTCACTTAGTGCCATTAATGGTTAACAAGTCGCCTGTCTTCACCCCAGGTAAACATGTCGACAAGATGGTTGCGTAGGTTTTGCTCTATAGCTTGATTCTGATCCATTTAAATTTGCATGGCCTCTTCGCACCTGTATGGCTGAACAAAATAACTAAATAAGAGTGTGTTCAATATGGAATAGTCCGAGATTCTTTGACTTTCTCAGTCCTAGTCGATGAATTAGCTGTATTGAATGAATGTTGTCTTCTCAGTCGCTTGGTTTCATCATTTAAAAATGGTCACTTTTCTTGCTTGGACGCAGCTTAGAGTCAAATGTCGTCTGTTTGGATTTTGATTTGTGACTGATAGGCCTTAAGGCAGATAAAAACAACTGTATTTTAATGTTCTAAATACAGTGTTGCATTAATCATTCGTTAGGTCTACTGCTTTTGTTGTATGATGACTGGAAAGGCGCGTTGATTGGATCCGTTGGATGTCATTAACCAATATTCGATCGTATACATGCATGGTTTATTTTTGAATCGAGTGTGTAACAGCTGTAGAGGTTAGTAGCTTGCATGTAGAAGTCTGCTGTCTTTTTGCACGTACTTTGTGCTATTTTTTGCATCGATATCCATTGTCATGGCGAAGGAATTAGCCGAATCACGATCTGTATTAATCCCTAGCAAAGTTTGATTAATTGTTTTGATCGTGTCATCTGTCCTTTGAATGGACGAGGCCGGCTGATGGTCTAAACGAGCTAAAGATCTGACAGAAATTCTTAATGTTACTTAGACGCTCAAAATGTCAAATATCATGCTTAATAGTATGATCTGATTTGTGCCATGTTGTTCGTAAAGACATCAGGTGGTAGCGGATTGGCTTCGAATTGCCGCTTCATATCCCAAAAAGAAGTTCTCTTAGCCGTTTATTCCTATCAGTATATAATTAACCGATTATTTCAGTGCAACCAGCCTAAAAGGGGTGCTAATTTTGCGTGGTGACTTACGAACAAGACGAGCAGCATGGTGTTCTCGTTTTGTCATACCAGAACAGCGAGTGGTACAGCCGTGCTGTTCTATACGAGGCCTCTTGCCGCTGCAATTAGCCTTGACCCAACTGATATCTGATTATCCAGTATGGTAGTTAGCACCAAAAGCAATTCCTGATGTTGTTCATATGTTGGTAATAAGTTTCTCTGTTCGAAGCACATTATCTGACAATTTAAGAGTACTTTCAGCAGGTTAGCAGTTTTTAGCATATACTGATTACCTATTGTTGCGAAAATTCTAGTTAGGTAAGCAGTTTGGCAGTGGCATGCGGACCATCAGCTGTTGTTGGAGACCTATCATATGAGTTAATGTTTTTGAAATTGTCTGGTTTTCACCGGGGCGTAATACGGACGGTGGTCTCCCATTTTGCCATCTGAGTTCGTTATCAGAATGCTTTCTTCTCCGAGACAGAATTTCCTTAATTAATATTATTTGCTATATAGGCCTAATATTTCGTTGGCAGACTGACTTAGTCTGCAGTGAATCAATGTAAAAACCGTTGAATCCGATGCTTATGATAGTAACGCGAACTTTTGAAATAAAGATCATTGCTTTTCAGCACAAATATTTGCTTGATCGTCTATTAGCGTTATTAAATAATCCAAGTAATTAAAATTGTCATATTCGATAGTAAGTGCTTATCTTAGCCCATAAAATTTTTTGCTGAAAAATAGTACTTCTGATCGGTCTGGTAAGATAATTTGTGAGGTTCTGGTTCCGATAAAGCGGCTGTTTAATTTACTGGTTTGTCACACTTGCTTTTGTGATTTATTTGTTTGCACCGACACAGTTTTCGCTTTCACGCAATGATGATTATGTGGGCTCGGCCTCATCGCTTTCGAATGGTTGCCTCTAAGTTATCATTTTGGATGTATTCGTTTTGTTGAAAATTCTGGTTTAGGTTCGGGTCAGACCGGATCACCTAGGCGTCGTTACCGATGGAGTTAAGCATTCGATGAATCCCTTCGACGAAATCGCCGTCGAAGAAGCGATTCGGCTCAGAGAAAAGAAACATGTCAAGGAAATCATAGCGGTTTCCTGTGGACCTGCTCAAAGCCAGGTTGATCCTTGTTTAGCTTATTACCTTCTTTTCATCTGCTAATCCATAATAGAACGTTATCAGGGGGATTTGCAGTTCTTGGCTATCCAAGTAGCTCAACAGTGCTATTTTCTTGACCATTATGTTTTAATGATCAGCAGATGTAAATGTTTACAAGCTGACGTTTACTGAGTGATCATTTCCTATCATGGTCGGACATTAGTAAACATCAGTCATGAACCATATATTCATTAGGTAGATCAGTCCCTTGTCCCATTGTGTAGCGCTTTAAAAATAGCTTTATTAGATCAATAGATCCGGCTGTATAAGACTACGTAAAGCTTTTTTTCATCCTGATTTCATCTATAATGAATAGGCTAATAGCGGTGAATTCTTCCTTCGGAGTTTGTTTTTGCAGACACATGTGCAAAAAGAAGGAACTGTGTTTACCCAGCTTATCAGAGTAGGAAATTGTTAAAGAACTCTCAATTGCGCCTATAACTTTCGTTATGCAATTTTCAAGCTATCCGATCCGTCATTATGTGAAGCGGATGCCATTTATTCCATGTACTTGTTTCCTCTGTCTGCACTTTCTGCTACTATTGTTTTACTGATTGTATAAATTATTCAATTTTGGATGATAAAGGCTCTGGGATTTTACCTTTATCTTTGTTGTATATATGTTAAATAATCTTTGCCATTTAAGGAAACGTTACGCCATGCACTTGCGTTGGGAGTCGACCAAGCGATTCATGTACAAGTAAATCCGAAGGATTATGCAAATATGGAACCACTGCACGTGGCTAAAATTTTCAAGTGATTTTCTGCTTTTTCAAACGATTATGTAATTTGAGGGTACTGAGATAGTTGAAAGAAACGATTAGCAATCAGAAAATCGATTTATGAAATAACTAGTAACAAACTGATGGTAGAATAGAATGGTTTTTAATGCAATTTTTTCACTGGTCTGATATATTAACTCATTTCAGCGATGACGAGAGATCATGAATAATGTGACAGACGCTATGTTCCCCTGAGATGGATATTGACGCGATGTCAAAGAGTGAAGAGCGGTTTTAAGTTTTTGTGAGGAATGCCCTGGATTATGACTGCCCAAGTTCGTAAGATTTCTTTCTAGAATGGTACTTTCGTCTGAGGTCGGCACTCTTTTGACGAAGAAAGTCGAGAACAGTGTTGAATATGATATGCGAAATCGCACTGCCCTTACGGGCTAAGGAGAGAAGACTGTTTGTCAACAAATCTTCGATTCATATTAATCAGCTGTGGGCGACAAGAAATTGGTACAATCTTCTTGATCATTGCTAAATGACCCTCTGATTTGAGAACAGCTTTTGTAGATGAAATTACTTTCGAAATTTTATACCTTATGGGGACAATGATGATGGTGCTATCACTTCTTCAATATCACATTACTGGTGTATTTTGCATCTTTTACTCTAAACTCAGTTGGCTAGCCCTCCAAAAAACAGTTCGCAAGTAAATATGATTTTGTTGTTTTGGTACGCTATAATTAGCTTTGAAACAGACTATAGACAAAAATAACTACAATTTTCCGGGGTAGCAACCACAGTGTAGCCTTCCAATAATTATTATATTTCAATTTCTGCAACCGAATTTACTCAGCTTAAGCGCACCGCCCCTTGCTTCTTTTCATAAAGCTCATTTATATTCTTTGCGCTTGCATGTTGTTTCTAAACTACTTTTCATCATTTTGTCCTTTTATGCTCTGAACATTCTGTGGTATATTTTTTCCTGTTTATTTCTGCTATAAAATTTTGTAGCTTGTTTATTCCACATCCGTTATTTTTAGAAAAATCGTCGAAGATCACCGTGTTGACCTAGTAATGCTGGGCAAGCAGGTTTATTTGACTTTGATTTGCATACAATTTTGGGTATCGATTAATTTTCTGTTTAGGCGATTGATGACGACTGCAATCAGACCGGACAGCTGCTGGCGGCGTTGCTTGACTGGCCACAGGTAATATGCCTCTTAAACGTAGCTTAGGGTATATGTCAGATGCTGACCAGTTTCTCTTGAGGCTACGCAGATTTCTGAAGTATCGATTGTGAACTCTAAACAGCTCAACGTATGGAGGGAAATCGATGGGGGAAGGGAACTGCTGGAGTGTGATCTGCCGGCGGTGTTGACTACAGATCTGCGTCTGAACGAACCTCGATACGCTACTCTGCCCAATATAATGGTGACCGGTCTTTTGGATTGAAATCTTAGCGATTTAATGAAAAGGACATTTTCAGAAAGCAAAGAAGAAACCCATAATTCAGAAAGTGCCTTCGGATTTTCAAGTGGACATCAAACCGCATCAGCAGATCATCGATTTGGTCGATCCGCCCGCTAGGAAAGGTGGAGAGTTGCTGGAAACCGTCGAGGAATTGGTGGCGAAGCTCAAAGCCACTGGGGCTTTGCCTTAGGAACTATGCCCTTCTACTGTATTCTACTTAACGTGTGATAGTACGACTGCAGGATAAACTTTAGAACACGTTAAAACTGTGGAAATTCGTGGACGAGTTCGATTAGTAAAATTTTGTTGTTGCTTAATGCTTTGTTCTTAAATAGCGCTTGATGCTCAAGCGTAAGTTTGCTTGTATTTTGATGTCCAGATTTGAAATTATTTGTTATTCATCTGATGTCTGTAGGATGGTGGCTGTTCCACTAGACTGCTTGGTTTATTTTCTGTCATTCTACGCTGCATGTTACGTCGGCGTTGACGCAGAGGACATGAAGGAGGCCCGAATTTTGGCTAGCAAAACCTTACTCAGCAACTATGCCGTCGAGGGCAAGGAGTTCGTCATCACCTACCAGGTGTACAACGTCGGCGAGAAGCCGGCACTCAACGTCCGTCTGGTGGACGAAAATTTTCCTGCTGACCAGTTCGAACTTATTAAAGGTGAGTCAGTGATAGCTGCAAGTCTTTTTTAGCTTGTAAGTGACTTGTATATGTTTGATACGTGCCTTTAATTGGCTCACTACTTTTTTAGAGTTTGATTTCTTTGGCTCCAGCCAGATTTGAACACTTCTGTTGAAGGGATGCTCCCAATTAGTTGTAGCTAAGGCAGATAAAGTATTGCTTGATGAGGGTTAGGTTGATCGGCGGAATATTGGGTTCACATTCCAGACATCTTAGATATGAATTCTAAAGTTGTTATTTGTCTTTCATTCTTTCAGGTAAATAAGCAAAAATCATTGCTTTGGACAGAAGTAAGACTACCCGCTATAACGGTTATCTCGCTGTAGATTATTAAACGAAATCAATCACCGTAGCGCCATAAATTCAATGAAATAACGGCGCTACAAATGAAATGTAAAATAGCGCGTCCTGAACATGTAGACTAAGCAGATATATCGGCGGTTAAAAACTGTCTTGAGTTAACCTATTAATCAATTCCATTATTATTTTGACTTTAAACTGCTTTATTAAGGATACAAATGAAATAATCTTCATTGAGAGCGGAGTCCCGTAACTATTTGTTACACCACGCAAAGTGCTGGCAACCAACTTGCGGTCGCCCTTTGTAATAGGCGAACGGATGATAAGCGTTAGTTAGCAGTTGCAGTGTAAATGCCCACCATTCAGTGAGTTAAACGCTGATAATTAAATTTTTACGCTTACAAAGCCTTTTGGTCTTATTCAGTAACTGTATGACTTACTGCTGTGATATGCTTGATGATGTTACCTTGTTACTGTTCGGAATGTGCCATGTCTTTATACCAGGCATACATTTTAAATGATCGTTTCAATTCGTTCTAATACATAATAAATTTTGGGGACGGTCGTTCCATAGTTAGTACCACAAAGGTCGAATATATAATATGTTTAATACAAATCTGACCTTTCGACCGAATTGGCTTCGACCATCATCAACATATAAAGGCAAGAGAATGTACAATTACCTGCATAATTTAATGTCCGAATCGACTGATGTTTCACTCTTAGTCGCCGATAAAATTAATTAGACTCCACACCCCGGAAACGTTAGACAGGTTAGGCAACCTTATTTATTCAAGTAAATTAATTTTCAACCTTTGCAAGTTGTTTGCTTCCTATCTAGACAGTTGTATATTTTATTTTCTTTCATTCTTGATAACCCGTGGCAGTTTGGTCGAAACTTCGAACCTGTATTGAATAATGAACAGTTCTTCGTCTGATGCTTCCAAACAAATAATCACAAGACATGCTCGCTTCTTGTGTTTTATTCTTATTACACACTTTCGGTCGATAGTGTTACTAAATCAGCCTTTTTCTGAATAGGTATGATGACGGCGTATTGGGAACGAATTCCAGGGGGAGTTAACGTATCCCATTCTATCTTCGTTAAGCCGCTTTTGCGGGGCGAGATGAACTACAGCGCGGCTGAAATCACCTACAGCGTTGCCGATTCGCTCGAAGAAAGAAAAGCGTACAGCACGGCTCCAGAAACCGGCTATATTTACCGCCTGAAGTAAGATTGGTGAACTATGACCCTTTGCCCGATGCTCAACAAATTGTTTCAGGGACTATGAACGCAAATTCGAGCCGCATTATTCAGATTGGGCTGTGTTTGTACTGATGATCACACCTTCCTTGGTACTACCCGCTTTTCTATGGATAAAAAGCAGTCGAAAGTATCAGCTTCTGGCCCATAGCAATCACAGGAAGCAGCATTGATATGGACTAAGGTGGCAGCGGCCGCTCTTCTTGTTCCTACGATTTCCTTTTGAACATTTTCTTATTGAACATACTTCGTTGTTGATTAATGGTACAATAGGTGTATGGCTGCCTGCTGACTTCTGAATGTGTCGAGCTAAGGAATTCTTTACTTTTCTGCGTTAAAAAAATGCGATGAGCTCCTCTGATTTGTTGAATGGTGAATAAGACAAGTTTAAGCGATCTATTCGTACTGCAAATATGGTGAAATCGGTAATAATGAGTTCAAATAAACCAAAAAATGTTCAGATATGGTATGCCAAGTTTGCTAATGGTGTTGTTTATTATGTTCAATATCAAGAAAATTTTGCTTAAGGTTAAAGAAAGAATTTTCACATTATTTTCAAGTAAATAAGTTTTACTTAAGTGTTTAGTTGTTATGTATGTTAGTGAGGTTTTAATTTAATATATTTTGTTTTGTCCATGTGCCAGTGATCGTACTGAAAAGTAGAGGAAAATATTTTGAACAAGACAAAATTAAAACTAATTTCAAGATAAGTGAAAGCTACGAGATGGGACAAGATCATCGAAATGTTTTTCAGCATAAAAAATTAATAGTAAACCTAAATCTGTTATAATTAACTTATCAAATGATACTGATCATCTAAAGTCAAGTAAAATTTCTAGTTCAGCGAACTCTGTGATAGCAAGCTTCTGGAGGAACAGCACGATTTGTCGATCAGGCTTTCAGGTGATGATGGATTCGTGGGATTTGACAGCATGATTGTCTAGTGGTTACAGGCACTCGCCACTTCATGGATAGTTTCATATTGCACTACCTACATGGAGTCAGAGAAGAAAAGTATAACTTATGAGAGCCAAGTGGCGTCATCTGCACTACACTGCTCATCCCCAATCACTTCTGATGAAGTTATATACGGTTATACGCTAACTACCTAGTTCCTCATTTACTGAGCTGTAAACTTTATAAATACCATGACTGCCATATTAGGTATCAATCCGTAGACATGTACAATAAAAATTAATTTATGGTATGAACAATTTCCTGCCTCCTCTTTGGATTCAGACGGCGCAGTCGCACTATTCATTTGCTTGTAGTAGCCCCGGGGTACCGTTTAAGCAAAATCCGTCCTGATGGCCTTCTAGTGTTCAGTAAATAGGCGCAAAACAACGTCGCCTGTTCGAACACCAACGGATTTACCTCGATCCGTAGGGATGTACAGTCAAGATTAATCCTACGATTATGGGCTTACTAAAAACATTTCTAAGCAAATATTTTATTACGTTTTTTATTCGCAACAACGTCTGTATTGTTGCGGTTTACCGCCTATCATAGATATTTAAAAAAACAAAAAATGATTTAAAACGTTTGTTAAAAAACTGCCGAAAACAAAAAAAAATAAAATTTTCAATAATCAACATGTTAAACATTTATTTCTTTCATAAAGTTTAGATGCGCCACAGTTAATGCCCGTTACTTTCTGATCTCATGAACCATACTCTTGAAATTATTTTAAAAATAGCTCTAAATCTGAGTTAAATCTGTTCCACAGGGGATACCTTACTAACTTTACTATCCTAAGAACAAACACCTGGTCAACGAAGTGCAAACCTTGATTACTTCAGCGCCGACATTTCCAGCATATCAGAGATAACTTCTTACAGTCAGCCATGGCTTTAAACGCCAATAACCATCGCCCTGACGATATCCCCGGTGTGCAGATGAGTTCGGCTGCGAGATTTCTGAGGCAACTTAAGCAAGAGTTGAGCGTTTCGAGTAGAGAGGAGTCGGCTGCTGATTTGGTTATTGTCCACCAGCTCTACTGACGGACAGTCTGTGTCTTCCTCGTCGTCATATGGCACGAAACGAGCACGACAATATTCAGGGCGTTCGTCTAGCGCGTATTCGTCACCCTTAAACTAAAACTATCGACTGTAAAGAACGTATGGGGGAGAAAGAGGACAGTTTTTTCCTTGCCTTGACATTGATCTCGTTGAAGAAAAAATCTAATCCCGACATTCGATACAGCGCGGGGATGACGAACAGGTGGGCCGTAACCCATGCTGATACCGGATTTCCCGGCAAGGCAAACACTAGTTTCTTTTTACCATTGAAAATTCCCGTAGCAAAGGTGGTTGGTTTGCTAAATGCAGACATTATAGCGAATACGATGAAAAACCAGTAAAAGATACTACAAACCCCGGCTTCATGAAGACCCTTCCAAAGTGTATATCGAACTTTAAATCCGTCTGCAACACCTGTTTGATAAGATCTTTTTCGCCCATCGATACACCACCGGTAGTTATTACAACATCCGTATCGAACATCGAACCACAGAAAGCGGACATTATTTCATCGCTTCTGAAAGAACACGAATGACACCAGATGATCACGATGGTAATATGAGACAACTTACTCATCCCCAACAATTTTCCAGTCATGGACCAAAAATCCGTAGCTTTTTAAAAGACTGCCCAACAGCATACTGTTGCTATCACGTACCTTACCTTTTGGTAGAGGTACAGTACTAGGAGATCGTAATTCGTTTCCCGTAGAGAAAATGGTCACCGTCGGTTGGTTGAAAACATGTACAGTCGTTTTACCCAAAGAAGCCAGAATTCCGATTTCGGCCGAGGTTATTTTTGTGCCTCTTTTCAGTGCACATTCTCCGACATCAAGATCACTACCGATCTGCCTAGAAACAAGCATAGCAACTTCATTACACATTCTAAACAAGAGGTAAAATCATGATTTTGTATAACATGAAACCATAAAAAATTTAAGCTTCAGTAACTAATAATTCAATAACTAAGATTATAAACTGAATCAAAAATTAAATCAAGAATTTCAATTTAAATTCAATCAAGAATGGCAACACTCGATTTCCGCAGCCGACAACTTTCAACTTACAGCCACTGATGCCGGATTTACTCCCAGTGAAAAGTGCAACGTAAAATCATTTAAATGTAACCGTAAATGACCTTGCAGTTTTTGCCGTGTATATCCAGCATTAGTAACCGAAATACAATAATCATTTTAATAAATAAAGTTTGGTTCAATCCTAGCAGAAGGGCTATTTCGTGATGTGTCTATTTTCGCACATTACAGTTTGTAATAACCTAAGCAGCTACACTGCCAAACGAAAAGCAAGAAATATGCATCCCTTGGCACTTGACT